AGAGCCAGATCGCCAACTTTTCTACAGTGTTCCAGAGAAGTGGGTGAGTTTGTGAGCGAGACATCACCCACGAGACGAATTGCCCTTTTTTGGACAGAATACAACAGTTTCAGGGTATGTTTGGGTGCTGCACTCCAAATATGGGAACAGTATTCCAGGACAGGTCGGATCTGTGCCTTATAGCTCATAAGCAGCTGACTGGAAGTGAAATATCCCCTGGCCCGAAACGGAAAACCAGGGTAATCAGAAAATCCAGTGGCAATTGAAAAGAAGCGAGAGTTGGAGGAGAAAGTGAGGGGGGGTTTCTGGAATCAGTTTAAGTCAATTACTCATAACCACTAACCGATCATGAAATATAATACAGGGAGTTCCATATATGAAAATCGAAAGTTGATGTCTGTTCCGCTTTAAGGATTCAACTTTGGGATGGGATAATTATTACAGAATGATGTGTCGTCTGTCAAATCGAAATAGGACTGTTCAAGCGTTTTTCCATTGATTGCATCACAACAGAGAAAATTTGGGTGGAACGTATTCTATGCGTCACTCGGTATATGGGGACCATCTGGTTTAGAATAGTATACCCCTATAAAAATCTACCCTTGGTTTAGAATAGTATGCCCCATAAAAAATATATGTGAGATTTGAAAGTGAGACACATCATTCATGGCTACTTTTGACGCATATCAAAACACTTTACTCGATAGAACCTTGTTTTCCGTATCCATTGCTTCTTCCTCGAATCCCGGAATCTGTGTTTTATTTGAATAAGCTTTCAAGTGGATAGAAACTAACAAACAAATGCGATTTCATATGTGCATATACATTACGAACGGGAAAACCAGACTGTCAGAGTATTCCCAACTCCATTAGTCCCAAATGCGGCAATTAAAATACCTCTTTATGTATTCGCTGGATGAAAACTAGTTAATCTGGTGTTGATTAGTGGTGAATTGTAAAAGATAGGTATATTACCTGGCGAGACCTCATCATTGAAGATCAGAAGTTCAAGGTCTCTTTACCTGTGATTCGCACGTTGAGAACAATAGTGTGACATCTCAAAATAGCTATTTATACCACAAGCAATATATTTCAATCATTATTGTTCTGTGAAACTGAAATATGGACCTATTGTCACTATGAAAGCATTTCTCTTCAATTCTAATTAAAATCTGGTAGCCATGACTATGACAGCAAATGACAAGTCGTTATTGATGAGTACCTACTAGATTTGAATGCCTGAATTCCTGCGAGTCTCGCATTAGAACAGTGAATTCTGCTACATTTATAACAGAGATGGCTCTGTCCTTATATACTAGTAGTGAATTAACTTGATAACCATACTTGAAAAATAGTTTGAATTTGAGTAAGAGCCACCTTCTAAGAGTATCGTGACATCTGAGTGACATCTCTAGATCTAATAGCTGCTGCTTCACAGAGCTGGTAACGTTATTGCAATTGAGGAAGCAATATAGAGTGACTTTCTGCTTTGTCACCAGTCCTCGCCTCTTTTTTGACTTTGAGGCAATTTTTATGGTGAATAATGTGACCTTATTGTTCAAACACGATTTGGAATTCTTTGAGCTTTCACGTTATTGCTTTTTCATCAGTAAATGGAACTATGATGAAAACGCCACGAATTTTTGAGTTGTAACGTCACATTATTGCATGCGTTGCAGTTAATGTAATGGAGTAGGCAAAACGAGTCTTGCAATTTTCTGCATCCAGAAGAAAAATTGAAAAAATAGCAACAAGGAGAAGACAGCCGTCGATAATAATAAGAATTACAGCCTCCGAACAACGAATCCCTTTTGATGATCGAAGATTACAGCACTGTCTGTAGGTTAATCGAGGAGGTGGTACATTCATTATTCAAAATTTTTTGAGATTTTCTCTCCTCATTTCTATAAAATAAGAATATGAATATTATTTCAATATACGTGTAGTAAGGACAAATCAGATGATTTGCCCCAAAATATCACTGCGTTTAAAGAATTTCGGGGCGAATCATCTGATTTTGACCTTTGGAGAAATATTATGCTTCAACTCATTACCTAATTATGATTCCAATTTTTAAAAAATGTTGAATAAATCATCTGGAAGACCATGTTTCTATGTTCCAGAAATTTTGGGATATTCACTCCTCGTGTCTGTAAAATAAAAGTATGTTTTTTTTTTTAATTTTCAAGGGTGGATTCCATTTCTCAATTTCACACATTAAGTAGGTACTTTCGTTATCAAGAAAATGTACCTACCTTCGTGCCTTGTCAACTTTCTTCCCAAACAATGTCATTTCAACTTTATGCGAATTTGACATATTTCAATTAAGTACGGACTTAAAAGTATAACATATTTTTTCTAATTATTGTGAAAGATAAAACCATACACAGATTTCTAACTATTGATTTAACCTGAAAATTCATACTTGGCAACTTTTGATATAGCTATTGAAATACTTGTAAGATTGGAAATGAAAAACATGGGGCGGATGGCAGCAGAAAATTGATGCATTATTAGCTAACAAATAATTTTTATTGCACCGCAGATAATGTGAATTTGACAAAAGACAAAAATGAATTTTCAGGATAATTTAGAAAAAGTTGGGAATCTGCATATGGTTTATCCTTCATAAGAATTAGGGAAATTGTTTTAGTCTTAGTCCGTTATAAAAACATGGTATATGCAATAAAAAATATTCTTAATTCATTATCATTTTCTGCTTTTTATGATCATGTGAATGGAATGTTGGAATTGATTTCCTGTGCTTCAGCAAATAGTGTAGCTCCGAGGCATACAACACATCCAAGGGTGAATATTTCAATCCTCTACACCTTTTTCAATTGTAATTCAGAAAGTATAAGATGTGATTCAGAAAGTATAGGTTGTAATTCAGATTAGTTAATTGTAATTCAGAAAGTATAACTTGAAGTTCAGATTAGTTAATTGTAATTCAGGAAGCGTAATATGTAATTCAGATTAGTGAAATGTAATTCAGAAACCGTCGATTGTAATTCAGAAAGCATAACTTGTAATTCAGAAAGTATCACTTATGATTCAGAAACTACGAACAACCCGTATGCATCCATTCTCCTTGAGAACAACGACTTGTTTATCTTGAACAGAATATTGACCGGGCCAAAAATACAACTGTTGGAGGTGATTGTGCTAGGGCTTATACAACACACCACCATTCACCATGCTGCAGCTCTGGCATTCTGGCATTTCAAGATATGTCCGTTGGTCGATAAATATAAAATATTGATGTTCACCACACAATATACCATTCGTTGATTTCTATTCCCTACGCATATTTAAGTCCATAGTATTCATGCATCACAAGTGATGCTTTCTGAATTACAAATTACAATTGACTATTCTGAATTACAAGTTAAGGCGGATTCATGCAACATTCATTATAATTACATTTTCACTACATTAAAATTACATTTTCACTAGCCGCGGACTACCCGTTCATGCAACGCATGCTCTTAATGAACTAATTATTCGAGGTTATGTGATCTGCTTGGATTTTACAAATGTTTACAGGTTATTTGAGAATATGGATTTATTTTGAATATAATATCTGAGGTGAATCACAAATAGTTTTGTGGAAAAAATGATCATTCAATGATCTAATTCTGCAAATCAGTCGTTTTCACTAGAATTATAATGTAATTATAATGAAAAGTTAGAAGTTGGTCAACTTCTTAGTGCACTAATGTGATGAAAATGTAATGAAAATGTGTTAATGTGTTGCATGAACGCATTCTATGACATAGGAGTACTCAACATTCTTAATTTATAATGTAATGAAAATGTAATCATAATGACTGTTGCATGAATCGGCCTTTACACTTTCTGAATTACATTTCACTAATCTGAATTATAGTGATGCATTCTGAATTACAATTGACCAATCTGAATTACAATTGACGTTTTCTGAATTACAATTAACTAATCTGAATTACAAGTTACACTTTCTGAATTACATTTTACTAATCCGAATTACAAGTTACACTTTCTGAATTACAATTGAAAAACGTGTAGTGAACCCCAACCCCCAATGAAAAATTGGCATGCCACTGCTCCTTTTTTCACATTTTCACGGATTGTCATACACTTCTGAGCTATATGGTCCGAATTTCAAGTATCTAGCTCATCGAGAAGTTAGTTTGAAATCAATAACAAACTTCCACCCGGACAGACATAGAGAAAGCGAGTTAATAAAAACATGGTAAAACATGGTAATAAAAATACCTGACAGGTACTCATGTTATATACGGCAATATCCTGAGATGTTATGTGGCATAATATATTGCTATTTTTTAGGAGTGACATCTAAAAAAAAATAGGAATATGGTGAATTAACACTGTATTACTCGTAACTTTTTTTTGAGAATGTCGGAAAAATAATGTATACAGGGTGTGATTTAATTGTTTGGTAAAAATATAGGATATGGTTCCTCAGCTTGTTTGTTTTGGAGTGTTTCTTTCCTTGCCAGGTAGCGTTCGGCGTTCGCGTTCATTTCGCGGACGTTGAACGCCTCGTGGGGTATGAATGCTGAGATGTGTCTACGTTGGGTCAGGTTCGCACCAGATAGCGATCAAGAAGCTATCTGGGACAGCCCTGCACTGATGATAGCCAACAGCTCGAAACCGGTCTACAGATAGTCACGCGTTCCTGAACCACTTAGGCGCAGCTCGGCGTTTAGGAAGAAAACACTTGCGATTTTATTCGTCTATACGAATTATTGCATAGCTTTCGGGAGGATGTTATCCAATGTTCTGTGTGGTATATAGCCAGGAAAGTCCTTGTTTTCCTCTTGTTATCTACCACGTCGTTCATTTTATGAAGTAATGTGGTAATGACTTTGAGTTTCTCGGTTTTATCACATTATTGTTTTCAACGTGCGAAATATGGTGAAGAACCTAAAGGATGATTGAAATTATAAATCAATCGGTTCAAGTTTCACCCACTGACCTTGTTCCTTCTGTTCCAGGTCCTCTCTCTGGGGGCAGACGTTCTGCCCGAGTACAAGTTGCAGAACCCGCGCATCCACAACTACACCATCCTGCACTACTCACCCTTCAAGGCCGTCTGGGACTGGATCATCCTCATCTTGGTCATCTACACGGCCATCTTCACGCCCTATGTGGCGGCCTTCCTGCTGGGTGAGCCGGACTTCAACAACAGGAAGAACAAGAAGTACAGCGAAGATCCCATCGTCATCATCGATCTCATAGGTGAGAGCATCTCCTAGCTTGTATGCATAGGGGATGAATAGTTAATATACTATGAGGGTTAGAGATCATTTTTGGCAGTTTTTTCTTGTTGATCTCTATGAGAAAATCTAAGGTCCAAAATAACAAAAATGGCTCTTTTTTTCACCCCGAACCCGATCGAAGTCTAGTGATGAGCAGAATCGAGTATTTTCGAAAATAGATACTTGACTCGAATATATTTCCAATCGAGTACTTATCCGAGTACTCAGTATTCGAGTACAAAGAATGAACGACGACCTATCGAGCGATAACCTTATTGCTAGAGCTCAACAATTTGGCACCAACAATATTCCTTCTTTATATCAATGATCTGTTGGGAGTAACAACTTGCCCCATCCACAGCTTCGCAGATGATAGTACCCTCCATACTGCGTTCTCTTCCAGAATTCCCATTTCTTCCCAGGAAACTAAGACCTCACGGCGCAGGCAGGTCAATGCTGTCAATGAAGACCTTGCTGAAATCACAGCCTGGGGAACCAAGAACCTAGTTAAATTCAACGCCACCAAAACTCAAGCCGGTATTTTCTCTAGAAAGGCGGAACTCAGTATGCCCGATATTGTAATGTCTGGCACCACCATCCCCACCAAGCCCACCATATCTATGCTCGGTATTTCCATCAGCAACACTCTTTCATGGGATAATCATGTCAGATCCATCGCAAAAGCTGCTTCACAAAAACTCGGATTTCTGTTCCGTGCAAATTGTTACTTTACACCTCAACAGCTTCTCATGATCTACAAAGCGCAGATACGGCCTGTTCCCACATATGGGGTTCAGCACCAAAACATACGCTGATGCTCTTAGATTCCATCCAGATAAGGTCCATTCGCCTGGTGGATGACGCCACATCACTCACTCTTTGACATCATTGGAACACCGTAGAAAGGTCGGCGACCTTTCACTTTTCTATCAATACTTCCACGGAAAATGTTCTTCGGAAATCTCTGCTATCCCTTCACTAGCAATACCAGTCAGACGAACTAGACAAGCCCAGTGAGCACATCCTTTCGTTGTCAACCTCGAAAGATGTCGAACAGCACTTTATCAAAACTCCTTCATCCATAGAACGGCTAGGCTCTGGAATTCATTGCCTGAGGAAGTATCCCAACAACATATAATCTCCAGATGTTCAAAAATAATTCCAATGCCTACCTCCTGTCCCTATCCTTCCTAGGAACACACGCTGTTCTTTGAACGTTATAGGGATTTTTTTCGTGCGCTCCAAGCGATAAAAAAAATCTACATTACATACAAGTGTAATGCCAATAATCATAGAAAACTAACTATTCGAATACCGGATACCGATACCGCGGCTTATCAGTAAACCACAAGGTACATATGATCATCTCTGATCAGGTTTATGATCAGCCTCGTATAGTTTCGATCGGAATCGCAATGAAGATTAACATGTAAAAACTGCCCAAAATGGTCTCGTACCCCCATAGTATATTTACTGTGAATAAATACACTGCGACCTAATAGTACCTACCTATATCATTTCATTGGGATCAAATGTGACACTTTGTTTGACAAGTGAAATTTGCGTTTGCGAGCGAATATAAGAGAGGTTAACCTTATTTTGACTCACGTGAGCATGTCAGTGTCAAAGCAGCTATCATATCAGTTATCATCCGATACACTTCAGTTCCTAGGAAATTAACTTCAACTTTAGCTCCTAGACACTGAAAGTTTTGCCTAACAACACACATACATGATCATTTTATTGTATGAGTGAGAGAAATGTCAACTTTGAGAGCTAATTTTGATACAAAAATTGACGACTTCTGACTCGATTGCAGAAAAATGATCTTTTATAACCCCTTCTTCTGATATATCCTATGAGATCATTCTCCGTAGCTAGAGCAATTTCTCTAGTCCTATATCCCCCAGAAATTTCTAAGGTGGTTTCAGGTAGGGTAGATTTTTCTTTTCTCTTTTTCTGATACAGTATTGCTGCTGGCCCTGCAAGAGAGTTCTGGCCCCGTTTGGCATTATTGACGATTTTAGGACCTCAAAATCGACCGAGAAAATCAATGAAAATATGGAATTGAAAGGTGGTTGAGTGATGATTCTATTTGAGCATTGAAAATAAGTCCACTTGTCTATTGACACAACACACACAAAGACACAATAACCGTTCCCCATCATTCGACAACTCTCTTTCAGAAAGGATTCACTTATAATGCTATTAAATTGTTCAATTCACTACCTACTGAATTAAAAGAATGCAGTAAAAGCGCCTTTAAATATCGCTTCAAACAAAAAATCTTAGCATGCCCTTAGTTCGCACATGTTATCTATAAGTTTGTATAATTCATCAATAAATTTAACTTTAACTCAATTATTCTTGTTTTCCAGTTGCTCACTCACTATTTTGTCACTATTTTTCATTTAATACTGATTACTATGTGGTTAGATGTAAGAATAGCTTTAGCTAAATCTCGCCACTAGTGATCAATAGTACAATTATGTTTTTGTAACCATATATATACATAAATAAAGACGATTTATTATTATTATTATTATTATTATTATTGGCAAGAGAGAAAACTTGACCTTGAAACATTTATTCGTGCTATTTCAGTGGACGTGACGTTCATCGTGGATATCCTGATCAACTTCCGGACCACTTATGTGACAGGGAACGACGAAATCGTTTCTGATCCGGTTCGAATTGCCTTCCACTACCTCAAAGGATGGTTCCTCATAGATTTGGTGGCTGCGGTGCCATTCGATCTACTATTCTTCGGCACCGATACGGACGAGGTGAGTTCTGATCCCGACTTATGGTCGATATTTTTTTACGTTTGTGTATCTCGGTTGTGACGGAGATCTCGTGGTGAATTTTCTACTTATGAGAAAGAATGATTTCAGGGCAGGTCGGACTGAAGACTGAACGTATTCCTTTTACACAACATATGTATAGGCTTTGGAAGTCCAATCAGAGCGATTTGGGCTATGGCGGTTCATTCAAATCACTGATATTGGCGGTAAATTCGGGATACCAACAATAAGTTAGTAGTTCAAAGATCTAAAATATTTAGTATTTGTATAACGAATGGAAATATCCTTCCTGCATAGGAAATAAGACAACTTTTTCTATACAATCCTATTGTACTGGGTATATCAATTTTAAGGGCTACCATTGGGATCTCGCGTAAACTAAGGAGATACGGAGATGGTTAAATTAGGGCAAAGTTGCGAATTAATCTGACTTAAAATATGCCATTGAGAAATTTTTCAAATACCGAATATTCCCAGAGATATACGAGAACAGAAATTTTGATAAATCATTTTAATTTTTCAATCAAAATTGAGAGCACATTCACTTTTTCCCTGCAATATTATTAATGAATATCCAATATGGTGCATATAAGAAGAAATAAAGTTAGATGATGGTGGCGTAGAGGTGAATCGTCGGATAGTGAATCTGAAAATGTCATCAAAGAGCAGGAAAAAATTGGCAAGTAAATATGCTATCTAGTTTGATATTCTCATATATTCTTCAACAAAAATGAAAAATTGTCGTTTTTTTCGTATATCTTCGAAAATACTGGAAATTTGAAACATTTTTCGACTACTAGATCACATCCAGAGGCTGAAAAATCCAGAATCCATATTAGCAAAATTTTAGAAAAACTCCGCGTACACCACTGGAATTGGCATCCTGAAATAGATCTGTACCAAGTTCCATGAAGAAATATTCAACATTAACGATTCTACAGCGTGTCTCATTTCAAACGGCCCCTCCTCTATATCTCAGCTAATTCTGCTTATTTGGAATGAGGTGATTATTCGCATATAAGGTTTGAAAGCATGAAGAACAATAATATGGAGTTAGTTTTCTTGCAAAAAATGTTCCTAATATGATTTCATAAAGTCGACCCCTTTTTATTTCAATAAAAATGCACGGCACTGTCTAAATCGATGTTTGTCTCCGAAAATCTGATCAAATTGATGGTTATTCACACTGGTCCAAATTTGGTACGAATCGCACGACTAATAGCTAGATATAGAGGAGGAGCCGTTTGAAAAGAGAAACGCTGTATAATCGTTATTGTTGAATATTTTTTCAGAGGACGCCGATTCCAGTGATGAACGCAGATTTTTCTCTAAAAAAATCCCTGATATGGATTCTGGATTTTTCAGCCTCTGAATGCTGAATGTGATCTAGTAGGTCTTGTTTTTAATAAAAGTGGACGATGCTCAGCTTCAGAATACACGTCTCCACCCTCTACATTAAAAAAATCGTGAAAATATCTCCATAATTAGGAAATTAATGAGGGGCCACTTTCAACTGAGTCACTGTATGTTTGGACAAATCGAATTCGTGCACATTACTTCAACAGTATATGAATTTAAATGTGAGCTACCCTGTTGAGTCGGATATCGTGCAGTCATCGGTCCGACCACAACCTTATTTCAAGGAACAGGGTGATTCCTACATCTATTGACTTTTTTGTATTTCTTCGTTTGTTGAAAGATGTTGAAAGTTCATCACGAAGTTTTCGATCAATAGCGTAAGCAGATGAATCGATGTTCAATGTTGCATTTTTGAAATGTGAAGATTGAATGCCCTAAATATAGTCCCCGAAACTTTTGATATTGTTGATGTTTATATCCGTTGTTTGATTTTTGAAGAATTTTTGAAAGAAAGTCGTAGTATATCATATAGGTGTCATATTCAAAGGATGATGTATACTGATTAGTATGTAACAAAATACAAAAAAGTGGTGATATGTATACACCCAAAATTATGTTAATGTATTTTTTTGTAGCATACAAGTTGGTATCATCACAGGTACCTTTCACCTCACCAGTCATATTTCTGCAACAGTCCAGATTGTTTTGCCAGATTATTTTCCAAAGGAACAATGATTTTTTAAACGAATTTTAATTCTTTTCTATAGTTGGGCTTGGATAAAGACGAGGTAGTCTATGATAGTTTGATGCTTCCAATGCTGCCAGATTTCTATAAAACTTTTCAGAAAGTACCACTCACATAAAAAGCCTCATGTGACAAGTGAAATTTCAGATTCCCCAAGAGTTTTCGCGCGAGGACAACACAACCTGGAGCTAAAATCTACTACTTTTTTCCCTTGTATAATAAATAACTATTTTCGAAATAATACAAGAACTGAAAATGTGTGACAGTTGAATCAAAAACAGTGAAATAAAAAATAGAATAATTCGCTACTTTCATATATGTATATGTTCTAGATGAGTGAACCAGTCTCACTGAGTACTGGTTCACTGTTACATTTTAACAATTATTAATAATGACTTACTGAAAAAATAATTGAAATAGTGAAAAATATTAACGTGAATGGAATAATGAATTTTTGTTCAACTACCTTGAATCACTATCTCACTCACTGCGTGTTTTGGGATGAAATAAAAGACGGACACGGTTGATGATACAGCTATGATGACGTAATATATACAGGGTGTTTCATAATTGAATGCTGATCATAAAGGGCGATGATCCTTGGATGATTTTAAGGAGAGAAGTTCATATCAACATATGTCCTGAACCTCTTAGTTTTTGAGCTACAGGGTGTTGAAATCAGAAGCGTACAGCGTTTATTTAAACTAAACATTCAATATCAGGTCTACGAGGACATCACTGGTAAAAGTAGAAGTTTGATTTTCGTCCCAAAACAAAATGTGTTTCCACTTATAGTGGGTGTCTACTGAATTACCAAAAACAATATCCAAGAACTGAAGGAACAAAATTCTTTGGTTTTTATTTTTTTACGCGAAAACGGTACGTTGTATGAAAGTAAGTCTAGAAACCAAATTTGCTCCAAAATGAATTAGAATTGAAAAAAAAATCTGGTTCTCAGAGAAATCAGTGGCGTACTATTTTTTTCTCAATAAATTGTCAGTTCAAACCCCGTACGGACGCCACTAGTTAGAATTTTTAAATATTTTTCACATCAAAAAATGCTCCTTAATGATGAGAAGGTGTATACAAAATATCATAACAATATCTAAGAGTGATAAAAAATTATGATGAAAGACTCATTTTTTCCTTGAAATTTCATCACCCTGTACCTCAATAACTAAGAGGTTTAGGACATATGTTGATATAAACTTTTCTCTTTGAAATCATCCAAGGATTATCGCCCTTAAGGATCAGCACCCTGTATATATCACTGGCGTACAGTTTACTCTACTCAATGAGCTTTATTCGAAAATGTGGACAAATATGAAATATCCAGATTTTCACTCTTTCAACAAACAAAAGTAGGCCCTGAAAATCTGAATATTTGATGTGTCCATGCACATTCTCGAAGAGAGCTCGCTGAATACCATATTATGGAATTTTTGTTTTTGAAAATCGGTCGACGGGTTAGAGGGTGTTGCGGGTCGAAATCGCACACACTGTATATTCTGTTCATGGCTGTTTATTGGTTGGAGTCGAGTGTTTGATATCGAAATGTCACCTTGTTTAAACGACTGAATTCTTTTATTTCGTGAAACGCTTCACGTCTAGCCAGCTGGGTTTCATTCCGTATCGATTGAATTCAACTGCCTGGAGCCAGTTTAGATTTAACGAAAACTCTCATGAATTGAAAAATAATTCAGTTAAATTGTTGGGCTATATTCTATTGTTTTTTCTGTCATCGACATCCAAGATACACGATGATACGATAACTTTCAAGCAAGTTTTGCCTCGCACAAACTAAGTGAAATTAGTTATTTACTTAACAAGTACGGAAAGTAGTTCTTTTGCGCACGCGACGGCAGTTCCACGACGACGCGGAGCGGAATTCGGGCAAGCTGTCAAGGGTGGAGAAGACATTTTCCGCAAGAATTAGATACAAAGTTCTTCCTACGAATATTTTTGTCCATATTATTTATGAAAAAAAAAGTATTTAACCAACAAGATTTTATAATGATGCTACAAACTGACAAATAAGACAGAATAGTCCTAAATATGCTCATTTTCATCAAAACGAAATTGGTGTGGAAAATAGTATATTGTTTAACAAGCACGGAATGATTGTGCAAGTTGTGCACTATAATTTTTCTACGGCTATAATAGATAACAGCGGCATTGTCGATTTCTTCGTCTTGTAGCCATCTGATTTCCTGTCAAGTAATGCTCATCTATTAGACAAAGCTGTCATTGCTCCACATTTGACATTCCATGAGCGATGAGATTTTTTCGAAATAATAACACAATGGAGTCATCGTGATATCAGATACGGAAATAAAATTGATGACATACAAAGTACCCCATTGATGTATTGAACACAGTAAAACAACAACAATCTTGTGTTATAGCAGAAGAAAAAATACTTTTCCGTACACTCGTATTAAAGACCCATTTTTCGACTTTGCACGCTGAGGGACATGAAAATATATTCCAGTGAAAATATAGCTATATATACAGGGTGTTTCAGATTTGAATGTACATACGATACCTGTAGATAGAAGACACTTTGATGATTCCAAATGACCTCCCATTGATGTGTCTACCGTCTATTATAACCGAGATACAGGACGTTATCTTGATTTTGGCAAAATCTTCATCTGGTCATAACTATTGAACCACTTTGTATAATCTATCCATACTTGTTAGAAATATTCCACTTATATTACCCATTAAAATCAAATAAAAATGGGGACCAGAATCCAGGTCCGTCTTGAGAAAAAACAGAAAATCACTTTAATTTCAAAAACAACACCATGTATGGCAACATTGCGTAGATCTATTTCGATATTTCAAAACAGCGGGAAAAAATGATTAGAGTGACCCACTTTTTACATGGGCGCATCTGATTTGACAGATATTTCATTGTTATTTTTTGAAATACTAAGCTTTATTTTGATGCATTTTTATTGAAATCCTAATTCAAAATCCAATTTTTTTACATAAAAATAACAGTCTTCAAAGTTCAACATTCTGAGAGTCAAATTAGGTGAACTATCCATAGATTTGATCTTTTGGCAGAATATAACTTATCTATGGCTTAAGAAATTTTTGAGGGCTGATTTTATTATTTCCTATCAATCCATGAGCTGCGGTAAAGTAAGCTGTGCAAAAAAATCTGATATTCTGACAGTTCATAATCACTACTGTGATATTATTGGTACCTAACGTTAAGATAATTGTTGGGTGCTTGTATTGGGTTGTTACATTTCAAAGTGTTCATAATTATGCCATAACAAAATAACTTAACGTTATCAATAATATCACACTAGTGCTTATAAACTGTCAAATTTTTTTTTTGCACAGCCTACTTTACCGCAGCTTATGAATAAATTGTGATGAATAAAATGAGTCCGCGAAAATTTCTAAAATCATTGACAATTCATTGTATTTTATTTTTTCTATCGATATTTCACCTAATTCAACTCTAATGATGTTAAACTTTGAAAATCTGTTATTATTTTTATCAAAATTGAATTTTGAATTATGAATTCAATAAAAATGCCTCGAAATGGAGCTGAATACCTATTTCAAAACATAATAATAAACCATCTGTCGAATTGGATGCGAGTTCGTAAAAAGTAGGTCACTCTATTCATTTCTTCCCGTTCTTTCCAAATTTCGAAACAGATCCACAAAATTTTGCCATACAGTCTGTTGTTTTTGAAATAAAAAAAGTTTTCTGTTTTTCCTCAAGACGGACCTGGATTCTGATCTCGATTTTTATTATGTTCTGATGTGTGATGTAAGTGGAATATTTCTACCAAGTATGATTAGATTATACAAAGTGGTTAAAAAAATATTACCAGATGAAGATATTGCCAAAATCAAGATTATATCCTGTATATCAGTTATAAAAGACGGTAGACCCATCAATGGGGGGTGATTTGAAACCATTGAAGGGTCCTCTATCTGCAAGTATCGTATGTACATTCAAGTCTAGAACACCCTGTTTATAACTAGGAAAAGTTCACAAACCATCAAGGCAGGCATATTATAGTCCAGTGAATAAGTGAATCATCATTGTATACAAGGCATCGATTATGTACTTTGTGGAATGTTTTATAGACTCCTGGTGCATTATTGAGAAGTTTTTTTTATGAACCGACACCCATATATTCGCTTTTTTTCCCATTATTGTTAGTTGCACGCTTGATGTGCATGACGAAGATATTGTGATTGAGTAGATTAGATTTGCATCGTACAGGTAACAAAACTACAAATATTGCTAGACATATATATATTCCAAGAGACGGCTGCAAATCTCGACCGTTATCTGATAACGAAATTATATACAGGGTGGCCCTTTGAAAACGAAACAGAGGCTCTGTAGGTCGCCAAAACCGGATTATGAAAAAACATTGACACACGTCAACTACATTTTCGAGGAGGACATCGTTCTGAAATATTTTCAGCCCTGCGTCGTTGCCGCTTCTAACGAAAACAAGCAACAACTTTGTTATTTCAAACAGAACACCTTGTATTTCATTGCATTTTCAGATTCTCCCATATCATTTCGTTATCAGGAAACGGTAGAAATCTGCAGCTGGCTGTCCTACTAATACGGGTGCCCTCATCAAAAGTGAGACATTTTTATTAACAGGATGTAAAACTTATCGAAATGAACAGATTCGCTAAAAATTGCCCAAATCAAAGTTGTCAAATAACTACGTTCAAAAGTTCACCGATGGAATTTGACCCTATAACAGTCCTGGTATATATTTACCATTTAGGATGATACAGTCCTTCCAGATATGTCCCCCACTAGAATTCACGATGTTGGATAATCTCTGTGTACAAACGAAAAGTTGCTGCTGCACTTCGGCGATACTCGCCATAAATCAAAAGCATGTAAACAAGTGGGGTACGTAGTTTTTGAAAGGTATCAGATTAGTATAGATGTAGTTTTCATTAGGTATTAGATTAGTATAGAGGTCAGATAATTTATACGACGCTATAAAAGCAAATGATATTTTATCATTGCTCATG